CACACCCCGATCACAACAAGATCGAGACCGCCGTCGCTGAGGGGTCCATCACATCATAAGACTTGTTCTTATCATCCATGTCTTTGCTGTTCATCTTAAATACCTCCGCCAGCTGCATTAGATCCGCATACAGCTGTGCAGCTGCTGCCGCAAGCTGAGTCTGGTTGTTGAGTGATGCAAGCTTGGCTGTGGAGAGGGCAAAATTGAGCATGTTCTGTTCCTCTGCCACTCTGTAGCTGAGAAGATAAGGGACGTGAGATGCCAGCAACCATTCACGGGCGTGCTTGATCGGATAAGCGGCTAGTAAGTCTTCTTCCTCATATGTCTTGAGATCGTCGAGGCTCTTTGGCAATGGTGAGAATAAAGCCGAGGGCTTACTGATAACGAATGATTGGTAGTAGCTTTGGAGATAGTTGATGGCGGTATGCTGTGGCGAGGCAATATGGATGCACATTGTGACGGCGTCGACGAGGTCTTCGAAAGTCTTGATCTCCGGAAAGGACTTCATTTGTCCTCCATTGTCATCTTGCATCTCCTTGATCCAGCTAGCAATCTGCTCGTCCTTTTCCACCTGCTCATCGGAGTGAATGTCAATGGCAAGAACACTCGACACGAACTTGCGAAGAGTCTGCCACATGAGAATCATGTTCCGTGCATAAGCATAGTTATGAAACTTTGGGTTGCTGGCCAGTTCCTCAGGTGGAAAGCCTCTCGATGCCAAATCATTTGGCACGTATTTTGCTGTCCAGTCGAAGCGTTTGTACCCATCCCTTAGGAAAGCATAGAGTTGGGGATCTGTGATACCCACTATCTTGACGATGATGTTTGGAACGAGGGTTGCCCGAGCTGCTGCGTTGACCGACAAGGTCTTAAGCCAGTGAGGTTGGAGAAGGCGATACACTGGGTGGTCTGTTGAGAAGGCGCGATGTGCCGCCACAATGGTGACCTCCTCCACCAGATGGGTATTGATAAGATGCACTGTGACTTCGTGTCTCAACCAGTCTGAGGTTTGGGCGCATGTCTTTGCATACCGCCATGGCCAATCGTCCTTAGACTCAGGGCTAGATGGACTAGACCTCTTGTTGAAGATGACCACAGAGTTTGCAAGGCTGCCTTTGTAGTCAACAGCTATAGCCAGTGGATGAAGAGCGCCGGCATCTGTGAGTTGAAAGAGAGTCACCGAAGCGCATAGACGTCTCATTCCATCATTGGAAATCATATCGGCCTGCTGATCTGCCCCAATGGCGGTTCGGAAGTAACTGCAGTCCTGGACATAGAAGGATTTGGGATTCCCAGTCGACAGGAGATTCTGAATTTCAGTATTTGACTGGGCGGCATCGGTAAAGTCTTTGAGCCACTCGGACGAGGCTTGCTCGATGGTGGTAGGATTTGTGCCCACAAATTGTTGTTGAGCAAATACAGCATCGGTCCACCAGTCAGGACGATTGCCAATATTCTCCTCGTCAAAGATGTCTTCCTTGTTCTTATGAAGCTCGTTGTTGCGTGCCTCGATGCTGTCAACTGTGAAACCTTCCGGATGGTCGTGGATAAAATCAAGGATAGTGTCCGGGAGGAGTGTGCCCACAAGGGTTCCAGTGTCAAGAAGCCTCATGAAATCGAAAATCTTGAGCAAGTTGACTTGATCTACTTTGGGTATGATGTCCAGATGCGGTGGGTAGTTGTCACTGCCTGGCTTCTGGAACGTGTAGAGAGACTTCGGGTCGACAGCTAGGGCCAACGGGACGCTGGTCTCAAAGCCGGCCACATCGAAGAAGGATTCAAATCTGTGTCTGTTTAGTATCCCGTCGACTATAGTAGAGAAGACATTTCCCGGGAATACCTTGTTTCGATGCGTTTCATCATCTGCGTCAAGGCCAACTTTGTTCCTTGATAGGTACCAGCCTGAATTGGAGGAGGCTTCCCAACATCTTTTGGAGGGGTGATCTTCTTGTCTGTGTCGGCAGCAGAGATAGCCCGTGGCACGATTGATTTGTTCAGCAGCTCGGAGGTGAATGCTCCCTCGTCCCAGCCTTGCTTCAGTGGAATGGCAGTGACGGATTTCACCGGTACTTGAGCAGTCCCCATAGTAGATGCCGATAGAGTGTTAGCCGATTGGGTGTTTTTCTTAGGGATGCAGGATAGAGATTGAATGAACTGTTGAATGCCCTGGAGGCTTCTGTGGACGAGGTCTTTAAATGCATCTGGGGTGCAGGTGAAGGGACGTCTGTACCCTTGTTGACGCTCTGTTCTGGCCCTGGTGATGGACAAACAGGATCGTGAGGGTCGAGCAGGAGGAGCACCGGGAGCAGAGGGACTGAGTCCGACCTGGGAGTTGATTGAAGCCACAGACTCTGGGGGGGAAACGTTCGTGTTGGACGAGTCCAGCCGCAGCTGAGGCTGCTCCTGCGATTGGTCCATTGGGCTGCGAGGGATGTGAAGACGACCTCAGCCTAGACCTGGACACGAACTCAACACGAACTCGTTGCTTTGTTACAGCTCCACAAGGCAAAGTCGGTGTGTTGTGCTGCATGGATGGTCAGTTGGAATTACAATGTCAAGAGTGACACCGCCTGTCACTTTCACCTCAGACTCTCTTGTCTGTGCCTTCCACATGTCAACCGATCGCACCTTCCGCGGGCTCTCGACCTTGAACAACCTTTAACCTCCCCTCGGCAGCCACTGCACTGCGAATCCCCCCTCTTTACCCTGTCCTTCCAGACTCTGCGGCTGAAGTGACAGGAAGGTGCTCGGAGGTTTTGGTGTGTAACAACCACAACCAGGTGCACCCACCCACCAGTCAAGAAGGAGTTATCCATCATGCAGGAGGAACCATGCTTGTCGTTGACGCAACACTGCGAAGTCTAGCTCAATTGGACGCCACTTGCCTACCTGCCTTGACAGCCTCATCCTCTCTCTCTACGTTCAACAAGATCCAGCCGTGTCCCAAAGCACCACGAAATCACGGCGAGTTTCATAGTTCCAGTTCAGGATTACCATCAGTTTCAGACATATCTTGGCAAATGTGCTTGGACCGAGTCCATCACACTTCCTTCCAGTTTGACAGGTGGGGATTGCTGTCACTGAGGTGGTACAGATTGCCTTGGCCTGTTCTCCCAGCCTCCAAATCCTCCACCACCAAGACTGCTTCTTAGAGGCAGACAAGGATACTCTCATATGGGACTCCTTGAACAAAAAATCATGACTATATCCCATCCATAGAATCGGTGACAGCCTCTACGAATGGATGAGAGTAGAATACAAGCATATCCGTAAGGCAGAAGGTTGCGAAAGATGCCGCACTCAAGACTTTCGCTGTTTCTGTTCCCGCCACACCAGAGGTAGGCATCCAAGACATGGCTTTTCGTGTCAGAATCAGGCCTCCTTGGCTACGAGGCAACTCTGTCTCTCAATGGGTCGTGGATACGATGGTGTTGGTGGCACTGAGTATTGGGACCCCGACAGCCTGACGGCTTGTCAGCTCGAATCTGCAAGCAGCCCCGTGGTTTGAATAGTATAAAGGCTGCGTAACCTGGGCTTTTCATTCTATCAGCAACCTATCTTCTGTTCTTTCCTCAAAATCTAGCCACACATATCATTGTAATCCAAACAAGACGCCATGCCAATCCCACACTACGGCGTATGGAAGGGCATTCCTGTTTCCTACCAAGTTGATGGTCCAAATGACCGTACTCCTCACATCAACCTTTCCTTCAAGGATGACAACCACGGAACGATCAAACGGAAGGCAGCAATCAATGTCAAATCCCAGGACCACCCGAACGAACTTGTCTACTGGTTCAACCATAACTTCTCTCACTTGGTGACTCGAGACCTCGAACACCTAGACTACGGCTTCCACCCGATTGATCCCCGTGATCGTGACACACGCGACCTTGCCCTCGATTACATCCGCACTCGTAACCTACTCCGAGTCCCCGACGGGAGAATCTTGCCATTTCGCGAAAGCGGACCTGACAATGATATTCTCGATCAACTCCGACCCATCCTCGACGACGCCATCAGACAGCGTGCAGACATCTACCTCTATGGTTCGTCCTTTGGCTCCGGCATTCATGACATACATATGAACCAAGGAAGTGTTGGCTTTCCCAATGGCATTGGACAAGATGGAGCTTTCTTCTTACGATTTCCGGATGGTCATTGGGAAGCGGTGTTTCTGGCCTTTGCATCGCAGCGGATTCCAACTGACGATCGGAATGGGCAACCAGTGCCTGACAGCACATCCCTGGAGAGAATTATTGGGAGACAAGGACGTCCACGGCTCTGATGAACTGTAATACCGATCATATCCTTGGTCATGACTTATCAGGGGACACTATGAATGCTGATGGATGGAGATCTATAGTAATCAAGGGGATGTTATGACTGAACGGCTGTGAAGGGACCGAGACTGATTCAGGAGCAGAAATGTCAAAAGTGCTACTGCGCGTCGAGACCATTTAATCAACGCTCTCCAATCTGAAACTTCAATTTCCGTACTGTAGTAACTATCCTATCACAAAATCCTCATCGGATTTTGTCTCTCGAACTGCCATTCTCTTTGTCTGGGAAAATCAGATGCTGGTGACTGAAGCGACCTTGAGAAAGGCTGCGGGAGTACATAGCGACAGAGGCAGTTGTGAGAAATGAAATATCGCAGCCTATCTCAATCCATGACCAAGCAGCTCCATGGAAACATCACGGTTTGTTTGTCACTCTTAATCTATTACTGCTTCAGCAAGAGAGATTCTCCCTTCTCTGTCCCCCCGAAGCTCGAGCCTAATCGCGTCGAACCACGGGTCGCGGCAGTTGTGAGTCAGAGAACAAGACCGTGAAGGCAAGTTTCAGGAAATAAACCAGTTCAATGTTGGGATGCGGTGTCTTCAATCTTCCATATGATGCTGCATGTAGGACGCAAATGACGCTTGTCCGTTCTTCCTCCAGTGTTCTATCCAGGAGTCATTCTTCGCACAAGACCTCCCCTATGTTCAAATTCTCTCATGAAACCGGCCGCAACTTGTCGAGCCGAAGATGAGGGTCTCGTTACTGTGCTTGGAAAGGCGACCGCAGTTGCAACACCGAATACAAGAAGCCAGACCTACCGACGACGCACTGCGATTGCCACTTCTAAAACTGCGAGCCGTCATCGCTCGCGCTGCAACAGGTCCGAATGCCCAATGGGAGATGCAGCGGTTTTGATGGCACAGATGGAAATGATGTTCAAGAAGTTGGCTGTTACGCTGCTGCCGTATACTCCTCCAGACTCAGACCCGCCAAACTCTTCGGGAGTTTACTGTCCTACTCCTACAACCCCTACACCAGCCGTGACGGCACGAAAGTTCCTCCAGCCAAGAGGCCATGTGCGACACTCGTCTACCGAGTCATTTCCAGCGCTTAAACTTCCTGCAGAGATCCGACTCCTGGTCTACAGAAGTTTCCTCACGATCCCGCCCGAGAAAGCATGGGGGCAGTGCGACAAAAAGCACCAAGTCAAAAGAGTAACCATCACTTTGGCAAGAAAGAATCTCAGACGTGTATGCCATCAGATCGCCAGGGAATGGGACCCGCTCTTTCTCTCCACCACCACCATGACTATACGAAATCTGCTTGCTGGCTGGGACCCTCTCTCAGGATCTAATATGCTGAATAAGACGCCATTGACAGCGTTTGGAGAAATCTGCCGCAGGGGCACTGAAATGGTATATAACATTCCCCATACTCGTCGCCCTGGATCGGCCTTGTTCCAAATGGTCTTCCTCGAAAGACAGTCACTCTACAAACTGAACAAAAATCCGAAGGCTTCGATACGTTATTAGGAGTGCTTCTCCGACTTGCATAGACTTGGACGACCTGAAGATCCTGGCTGCATTGGTTCGGACTCCCCAGGGACAAGCTCTGCAGTCGGTAGAAGAAGTGACTGTTTCTTACAAACCTTTGCTTCCCGTGAGAGATGTGACGTGGGAAAGTATATAGAGAACATGCATAGGACTGAGTCGGAAGTGGGACGATGTTAAAGACCTTTTCCAACCCAACGATGGACTTGGGTGCTTGGAAAATTGGACGGTGGTCCGGCGCATGTGGTACGACAGCAAGCTCATGGGGGGCCCGTGGTCTGAGGGTTCACGAGGTTCATTTAGTCTTTCGCAAATCGCAACCGGTTTCAGCAGTAGGGAATCCTGAATGAGTGGAGTTAGCGGGATGGAGATCATTGGGTGAATGAGTCCTCGAAGGAGAGACGGGAGTAGGAATTGAGAGAGAGATTCGGTGACGCAGTGCCGATCGGCATGAGAGAAGGGATATGTCCTGAAGGCAATCACAGGTGTGGGTGGGTGTCGAGAACCAGTCAGGGCATGGAGGGCAATGCAAGAGGAGTCCAGTCTACCCTGGTCCTGTCCCAATTCTTCGTTTCACGCATGATGTACTGGAACCTTTGCTCTGTACACTGCAACCGTTCTTCTGACAGACCCTGATCAGGGTTGAGATCGTTGTGATCTGACATGAGATACGTGGGCAGTAATACCTCGGCCACCGTGTTTTTGATCAATGGAATTGATTATCCCGGTGCTGTCTGTCCATAGATCGTTCCTCGCTCCTCATCTACCCGAGTTGGAATACCTCTCCCGCACATATATCCAAGTGTCCCCCCGGCGGCGGTACGTCATGCCACGTCGCGCAAAGACACGTCCTCAACCCATGAAGTCGAAGCCAGTGAACGGCCGGCCGGATCCGCGAAGAGGGGATGCACACTTCTGCTTCAAGTCGACAAGAACAATTCAAGGACTGAGAGTGAGCAGATGAGGATTCTGAGGTCAAGTTCTCCTCTGTATTTCTCCCCCGACTGGGTGAGTACTAACCGGCACAGGTATTACTTGTTTAATTGCTCACTCTTTTTCTGGCGAGGGAGTCGGAGGGATAGATAGGTTGGTCTGGGGACGTAACTATGACCATCTAGTGATTTAGTGACACAAAGCCTTGTTGATGGAGGAACTGAACTAGAACGAATGGAAATGAATTGAACTGAGTTGAATTGAAACTCTGGATGCGAGTAAGAGAATCAGAATAGCAATAATCGGTGAGCAGAGTGGAGTGGCCGGTTCGCTGTGCCGTACAAGATCAAGATCAAACACCCTCCCAGCCAGGCTGTCCGCCGAATCCCGTCCAGTTCCAGGGGTCGAGGTGTCCGGGTTGCCCTGCCATATTGATATTCGCGTCCATCTGTCCACTGAAAAGGGCGAAATCATCCTGTATCTCGTTGTTGTTGCCGCCGTCGCTGATGTTATTATAAGGCATGCCGTGGTCCCAGAACCCCATCCCCATGGGCGTCGGCGTCGGCGTCGGCGTGATGTGCATCGAACTTGGCATTATTACGCCACCACCATCGTCAATGTTGGGATTCCTCGTCAGCATGCTCGGCAGGCCGGTATCGACATCCCTGGCACGCAGGGCTATTTGTGAGAGTGCGTGCTTGATGGAGGAGACGACTCTTGGCTCTGTCATCAAGACATCTTCAGGTCGCTTGGGAGCTGCCTCGTACGCCTCCCATGCCTGCAGTACCAACTTGGTGAAGAGGCGGAAGAAAGGACTGTCTTCCCGAAAGTGAGGCCCGAACCACGCACTGTAATTGTCACTCATGACTTCCCAGGCGTGACAGGCCTGGCTGCTCAGCGGCTGGCTTCGCAACTCTTGCACGATTTGGATGTAGGCAGGGAATGGGAAGTAGAATTTGTTGAGCCAACGGAATCTCTTGGTGAGCGGTGACGCCATGAGCTTGGTGTTGCATTCAAGCATTGTGAGCGCATAAGAAGTGGCGGTGTGTCGCTGCGCATTTGTCTGTCGTGAGGATGATCCAAAATACCGAGACTGATGTTCCAGAAGGCGATATTTGGCCAGGTGAGCGCGTGTCGTCCACATCGTCATGAACTGCAGTGGGTGCTCTTGGTCACAGTGCCTGAGGTACCGGTCCTCAATCATCTTCTCCAGCCTGACTAGCTCAGTTTCATCTCCTTCGGCCTCGCTCTGGGCAGTAATGACGTTAACCTTCAGGGCTGGGGTAGTAAAATCGAGATGGGTCGAGGAATGGCGGATCACTTCACCCAGTTCACAACGAACGACAGCAAAAAGTGCTTCGGTGGTATTTCCCTGCGTCACTGGCGGTCTCCTCATATCCGGCTGCAGGTCAGAGTCGTTCACATTGAGGGGAACTTTGCAGTCCCATGTCGGATCTAGCGTTGCAGTCCTGGAGTTTGTGGTCTCGCTGACACGAGTATCAAATAGCACCAGCGACCACCACAATCTTCGGCGCATTTCCGCCTCAAATATCGTGTGTTTTGCCAATACCGACTCACTATGGATACCCATGCGTTGGGCAATGCGAATTACCACAGCAAGCACAGATGACAGGGACTGAGGAAATGAACTGGATCTGACAGAGATCTGGCGCTGTTAGGAGGGTGAAACCAGCTGTTGGTTATACGTACCAGGTAGAGATATAGTGCAGTCAAGCAATCACGGTCGTTGGTTCGTAAGAACGAGCAATTTAACAGCGCCTGTTGACAGGCATAGTGATATCTCATCAAAAGATCTTCTTTCGGGCACTCGAAAAGTCGCTGGCAGTCTTCGGTCGCATGGCTCGAGATCGCCACACAGTAGATACTGAACATCAATGCTTCCAAGGTTGGACTGATTTTGGAAATGTCACTGACAGCTTCGATGAGACGTCCCTGCAGGCTGGGAGTGTGTGTAACCTTGAGCAGCGGGTTTACGTTGTCCGAGTAGATCTGCCACAGCCGGAAGACTTGAACTGGGTCGGGATGTAGACTGGAAAGGTTGACTGCTGGGCCACGGGCACCGAACAAAAGGTTATCATCGCTTACGACTGATTGATCGTACACGTCTTTCACAGCGCTTTCAAGCTCATTTTCATGAGAGGCGGCGCTGTCACTATCAGAGTCTCGGAACTGTGGGAGCAGTCAGAAGAGCTCACAAATAAGGCGACATGGCCGTACCCCTTGACTCATGACATGCCATACATTTCTGGGAGAGTCAGCTACCATGGATCAATTCCTGGAACACGCATACTTGACTCCGTAACTTCTTCCGGACCTGCTGGTGGTCGAGGGAGTTTGCATCTCCGAGTCCATATTTTCTGGAGGCTCACCGTCAGAGCCGTAGCCACTCCCGGCGACGGATTTCCCTTTCTCCAATCCAATATCATTGTGGAGTGGTTCGAACTTGACGTTGTTCTGACGGAGCAAATCTTCGTACTTGGCTATGCGCTCCAGGAGCTCTTTCTGTGGGGGCCTTCGCCTCAGTCGTCGCTTAAGTAAGGGGCTGGGAACACATTGGACTCGAGACCTGACACAGTTTGCGCAAGGGAAGATGCGGTCGCACTTGACCTTTCGCTGCTGGCAGAGGACACATGCAAGCACCCGCTTTGGCTTCCCGGGGGAGGACGGTGGAGCCGTTGCTATCGGGATGGGGCTATTCAGGGACTGCGCCGTCATCGACATAGTGGACGATATGTTTTCGAAGAAACCCCGAGACCAAAAGGTCGGGGATTTCAACTGTCCATGGTGCGACGTCAGTGACTTGTCGTTCAACCATTCTGCCTGGAACCTCGACCATCCAATCACAGGTTGTGCTGAGTGGGGGTCACATGATGGACCCACCCCGGACTTTCTACTTGTCCGAACCAACATATCAATTCAACTTCACCTCGCAAAGTTGAAGTATCACCGTAATCACAAAACACGCTTCCATTGACGTTGAAAGACATCAGAAATCAAACCTTCTCTGATCACTGTCATTTGGAGGACAAGCGTGTTTCTTCCTTTTTCCTGTATTCTTTGTCCAGCTGCATAATGGGTAACAAAGAGATGTTTCTCCCCATTAACCTCATCGCTTGACCTAGCTTCGACGAAAGGCAGCTGAAGGAGTCACTTTGAAAAGGAGTATGGGTCTTGAAGAGCTGCCTTGGGGAGCTCCGAGTTGACGGGGCAATTTCCATAAATATACAACATCATCTCCAGGTCATGCTCTCGCAGTACTACCCTCAACGACCATTCCACTGGCAAACAACCAGCAAATCAACCAAGCCCTTTCCAGCAGACTCACAGCAAACTATCAGAACCGACAAAGACAGAAATGTCCGATTCCACAGTCGACAAAGACCCAGACCTAGTCGAGAGATTTGCCGAGCCTCTCATGGAAACTCCCAATCTCTCGACTGAGGGCTCTCCGGATGGTGCTTCGACCGAGGCTGGCGTTGACCCTGTGGAGCAGATTTCCAAGGCGTTTATGAAGATCAGTATGAGGGCTTCGTCTGCTGACCCGGCCAAGTGGCAGCCTGTTGCTGGCGATGTTCACGCTACCGGTGCCGAGACTAGTGCCACAACCTCCCCCGACCCAGACACTACGAACTCTGCTCCTGATTCCCAAGGTGAGGACGATAGGGCGCGCCTCGAACGAGAAGTCATCGGCGTTCTCGATACTGACTACTTCCAGCGGACTCAATATGGGACCTTGCGTGCCGATCCTTCCCGTCGTAATCGTCGTATCCATCGATACAGATTGAAACGCCGGTTGGCCGCACGACTTCGAGTGGATTCTCCAGGGGGGACTGGGACCGGGGGTCTAGCACAATGATGGACTGAGAAAATAGATGGGAGGTAGAGGACTCGTGGAGAGTTTGCCTAGCGCTCTTGAAGGGCTTGACCCGGAAGGTGTGAAAGATGGTAAGGTGTAGCATGAGCCAAGATAAGATATTATTATTATTCGTATCTCCCACTTTTGAATTTTGTAGATGATTTTATATCTTTTGTCTAGGGCGCTATACCAGAGCCACCTCCAGCTGCTATGGCCACCATAGCACTACCCTTTTCCTTATGAGATATTATGCACCATGCCCCGTGTTTATCCCAGTGTTTCTGTTTCGGACTTCGATCTGCATAAAGCCACACTCTTTGCTTTTCTCAAGTACGGCACATGGCCCGTGTTCATTATCTCAATTCATTAACTGCTCAATGCCCCCTTGTTAAGATCTTAAGGCTGCACAAAGCGTCCAACAAAGCCGCAGTGGGTAAGGCCACTGACTTTCACAGCACCACTGCCTACCTTTTTCCTTAGTGACGAAGCACATTGAACCATAGTCAGATTCGAGACACGGTTGGCAGGGTCTCAATGAGGCAGCCCCAAACTGCCTTCCACAGACAATGCCTTGCACCACTCAGCCACGGAGCAGTACCTCGTAAGGCAGTTCTCAGCCCTTGACCATAGACCTGCCTCAACCCGCGCTCGACGGCCTTATATACCTCTCGACACCTGCCCGTTCCCTCCAATCTATCATCAATTACAAGCATCCTGAACAAGCAGACGATTCAACTCGTTTCTACTGATCAACAGCAAACCCCATTCCCCACCCCATCCCATCTACCACCAAAAACCCTCAACCAAACTCCCAAAAGTTGGAAAAAGGCTTGCAACATGATATCCCCGCTGTCATTCCTCCCGAAGCGCCACTCCAAGTCCAAATCCAGGTCGAAGCACCAGCGTGCCGACGACGACCTGGAAGCAGCGCGCCCGGCGTCTCCCACCCCGTCATCGTCATCGGCCAACACCTCCGAGACCCACCCGCACTTCAAGACCGATCCCACCGCATGGACGTGGAAGGACAACGTCAAGTTCTACGCGTGGAGGGTCAAGTTGAGGGTGCTGTACGCGCTTGAGTCGTATCGAATCAAGAAGGCCTTTGGGGCCGAGTTTGATTACTGAGACGAAACTCCCCTGTTGATGTTGATGTTGGTGATGATGGGATAGTTGACTGTCTGGCTGACAATGTAGGCGTCGAATCATAGGGACAAGTGTGAGTTGAAAAGGCGTAGAGTGGTGATGAGGAGTCGATAATAAAAAAAAAAAAAAAAAAAAAAAAAAAAAAAAAAAAAAAACAGGGCCCGTACGCCCCCACGTGCGGGACGCCCGCCCAGACGGCGCACAGCAAGCAGCGCATGCACCAACAACACACAACAGAAACAAACAACCAGCAACAAGTAGAAGACACTAACTGACGACGACCAGCGTCACGTAGGACAACACTCTCACGACCAACAACATCTCCCGTACCCACAACTAACTCCTCACAGACTCTCATTCAGTCGCTGCTCGACCGCACGAATCA